CGAGTTGAGGACATCTCTGTCTGTACGCGGTCTCTGTAGAACCGCGTTTGCAGCAAATCTTGGATGTTTGAGGTCTTGTCGTATTCGTAGATGGCAGTCACCGCGCTCGCAGGCACATCATGTCATTGTGTTTTTTGTTTTCATGCGTTCTGTTTTTTTTCCGTTTTCTTTTCGATATGGAATGGGTATGTACTGTGATGAAGAACGAATTGCGAAGGAGGAGGGAAGGTTGTAGTTCCCGAAAAAAAAAAAAAAAAAAAAAAAAAACTCTATGCTGTGCGGAAAAATAAACGGAACAACCTATGGCTAAAGTAACACGCCAATTTTTTGGCAAAATCCAAAAAAATATATGTTGAGGGTTCAGCCTCCTGATGAGTCGGTGAAACTCCGACGAAACAGTTTGTCACAGCCCCTCGTTTGTTGTCTTCTTCTCTCTCTCTGCCTACGGTTTACCGGGCAGTTCTGTTTGTGACGATATATATATACATATTTTTTGTATTTTTCTTTAATTATTCTTTTTTTTCCCGCTTGTTTGTTTTTGTCTTGAAAGAGGGGAAAGAAGAAGGTTTTACGCAGGGGCCCGCTGTGCAATGGAACGACAAATGCGATGTTGCTTTTTTTTTTGGCTTTTTTCTTGCCTTGTGGGGTATCTACTGCGATCACGAATGATTTGTGAATCTTTATGACCTGTCTTTTTTTTGTCATATTCCCTTTGTTTTTTTGGGTTTTTTTTTGAGTAGTGGTCGGCATATCTACAACGATGTATGGCATCAAGTATATTTTTCTTTAGTTATTTTTTTTTTGGCACGGCCGGGCAAGTGATCCCGGCCCGCTCTTAGTCTAGCTTATGGTTCGATTTGTTTTGTATTTCGGGTTTCTTTTTTTTTTTTTCCCTGCGGTACAGATAGTTCTGTTGTCAGAGAATGGATTTTTTGGTTTTCTTTTCGTAACGGGCGGGGTATGCACTGTGATCAAAAATGAATTGCGAATCTGTGACCTGTCTTTTTTTTTGTCAATTTTTCTTTCCTTTTTTCAAGTTTTCTGTCATTTTTTCTTTCCTTTTTCTCGTTTTTTTTTTTTTTTGGCAGCGGTCAGCATATGTACAACGATGTAGAGTACGGGTGCTGCGTGGGCAACGTGTGTGAGGAGCACAGAAGGTCGGAGCCCCCCCCCCAAAAAAAAAAAAAAAAAAATCCCCAAAAATCCGAAAAGCAACTATGGAAGTTGCGTGAAGCCAGTCACGGCCTTGGAGACTTACCTGTTGCCGTACTCTCTCTCTCTCTCTCTCTCTCTCTCTCTCTCTTCGCGCATTCCTAATATAGTAATTGCGAGACTCGACTGGAAGTACGTACGATCGTCATTTTGTGGTTTTCCACCGACCAATTCTGTCGCCAAAGTGCTGCCCATGGAGTGAGCAGGTATGGCCTCTCTTACCTCCTCCTCCTCTCCCTCTCCTTCCTGTATGTCTGTCTTTCCTCCCCCAGCGTTATTGCGTAAGGCTATGGTCCGTCGATCCTTGTGTCTCGCCCTCTCTGGACGTCGTTTCATTTAAAAAATTTTAAATGTGTCAAGAGCGAGGCTCTCTCTCTCTCTCTCTCTCTCTCTCTCTCTCACACACACACACACACACACACACACACATTCCATCGATAGGATGAGCAAAAACGAAATGAATCTTCCGCTGAAACGTGGAAACATACACTGCCACTTTTTTATTCGCTCATTCTATCTATCCAAGTAGCGTGCGGCACTGCGGCGAGCCGCGGGATTGGAGACCTAGCTGTTGGCCGAGGTTGGAGACTTGTCCGCTCTCTCTCTCTCTCTCTCACACACACACACACACACACACACACACATTCCATCGATAGGATGAGCAAAAACGGAATGAATCTTCCGCTGAAACGTGGAAATATACACTGCCACTTTTTTAGCAAAAT